ATCTAATAGTTGGCTGTAATGACCACAGCAAGGTCATCTAGAAGAATCTATTAAAGTGGTGAGTCAGACACATTGCTCAACATGTGCAAGAAGTCTCAAGCAAAGGTTTTTATTTTTTTAAGCAGTTGCATCATAGTGATTTTATAATTGCAGTTCACAAAGATAAGCTTTCAATACTAACCAGCCAGACAAGGAAACTCTTTCCAAAACCATAGTCAGCCCTCACTAAAATTCAACATCAAAAAGGAATAAGTTTATCTGAACTAAAAATTCTTTTCTATTCCAAGAATGGTAATAGCAATTGAGAGATTGGAGACTGGGGTATTAACCTCAATATCATTATGTGTATATGTGTGAGTGTGTGTATATATATATATATATATATATGTGTGTGTGTGTGTGTCTGTGTGTCTGTGTCTACAAAAATATACATGTATATACACATATATACATATACACACATATATACACACACACAAACATATAGATGCATCTGCACTGTTTACCTCATATGGCTGCAATAGCCTTAGAAAAATACTTGCTTTATTAGAAAATATTTTTAGACTTTAATGTTATTAACAATAAAAATACTGCCCCTGTACCATAATTTTCAACCTCAGTTAGCCAGATAGCCTTCCTGCACATAAGGTAAGATAGTAAAAGAAAGTATGATGTGCCACAAGTCTAAAGGCACAAACTGGGAAGGAAACCAAGAGGTGGAGCAGGTGGGTTCCAAATTCAGATTCCTACTGTGTAGAAGACTCTACTGATGGACACTTCCTTCAATTTTTTCATTTGCAAAATAGAGATAATTAATACTTGTTCTATTTAGTTCAGAGTTGTTATGAGGAATGAAGGGCTTTGTAAAATACACAGTTTGTTTTTATTGCCACTAGTCCAAGATATTTCCATAAATAAAAAAAATAATTAGTGAAACAGCCTAGAGCCATGAAAGGAAAACATGGGGAGTTAACCTTACTAGAATCTTATTGGTAATCTTTTTCAAACTTAAGAGGCAGCTTAGTCAAAAAGAATCAAGAAGGCAGTTCAGTGTTCAAATCCCAGCTGATAAATACTGGTCAGTGTGTGACCCAAAGCATGTCAGTGCCCCCAGGATACTCTTAAAACTAAGTTGCATTTTCTAGTCGGTATTAGTAGTTTCCTTCCTAAGAGATACCTACAGGGATGACATCATAGATCTTTAAAAAAAATTAAAAAGAATAAACCCGAAATTAAACATAACACAAAAAAATCTGTGGCCAAACAACTTAATTTACTAAATTCAGTCTTTAAGTAAATTCTATGAAGGCTTTGTGCAACAAATATTATATGGATCAAGAGAAGTGAAAATGCTTGTATTTTTGAACATTAGTGATTATTTTCTGGAACTAGATTTCCCAGAGTCGTCCAAGAGTTTAAAAATCAAGGGAAAAAGCCCAGTAAATACTACCTAAATATCGCATACAATTTGCTATATTATATGAAAAAGTGATGAAGCAAATGGCACCACAATAACTTTTCTATACATCCACAGCAAAGAATGTTTCATTTTTATACCTGTTCAAAGAAAGCAGAATGTTTTAAATCATATCTCCAAAAAGTCATTCCCTTAAAAAAAAAAAAGTCTCGTAAATTCATTGGAATGACAGTATTAGAATAGTGTAGTAAGATCTTGCCCTTTACTTCGAACTCTGATGACCACACGTGACAACTACTAGTCATACCCATTGGATGTTTTCTAGTGGGGAAAAAAATACCACCTGATAGGGTTAATCCACGGGAGATGCAAATATAACGGGGCTGACTTTACATTTCCCTTCCATTTGCTAGCCTCTAAAGAACACAGGAGCATGTGGTCTAATATACACCACCCAAACTTCCATCACCATTTCTGGGGGGAGAGGGATCGATAATATAAGGAAGGGTGTTCCACTTTTCATTTCATTTTTGAAACCAAATTCTGCCCCTAGAGGAAAGATGTTTCCCACTCAGCAGACACAAAGAAAAGAGTAAAAGCAATGAACTCCCCGATTTGTGCAAAAGATAAAGAGGAAGCATTGCTTAACAATTTGCAACATGACAAACTCCCTTTTTTTCTTCCTCCTCCCTCCCAGAATGCCTCCCTCTACTCCCCCACCCCGCCCGTTTTCCATTTTTAGAGGTTTCCTCTTCGCCTACTTTTCTTTCTTCTATATTAATGAACAGCTTTTTCACATTCCACATTACATGACTACAGACGATACCGTATCTCTGCTTCTTCTGGGCCCCTCAGCTCTGCCAATTAGTACATTATCACTAACTGGCGCATTGTATTCCCTATTCTCCCAGAAACTATATTTGAGCTGCCCATCCATTGCCCCATTTATACATAACCCAACTACTCTTTACCCTTGCCTCTTCTAACTAAGGGTTGGTGCTGCACTCCTCCCAGCCCCACGGCGGCAGCGCCGCCCCCTCCCTCCCCACCCAGAACAAAGAAAAGGATGTGGAGAAAGAAGAGCAGAATCGGCAGCGCCATCCATCCAGTGCCCCTTTTCCCCAGCCTAGTGGGAGTTATCTCTCATCCTCAACTCCACCCCTGACCAACCCAAGTCCTATTCATTTCTATTTTACCTCTCCTACCATCATCCTACCACCTCAGACAATGCTGACAATCTCTCCTACCATCCCGAACAACTTGGAACTCCTATAATCTCATTATAGACCCAGTAAAGGTCTGGAGGGGTAAGGCCTAGGAAGGAAGGAGCTTAGTTTGCTTCAGGGACCTGCTGAAGGTGGTGGGCCAGCAGAAAAAGAAAAACTGGGGCCTGGCCACTGGCAGTAGCTACCAGGAGGAGGAGCTGCCATTCTCTTGGCCTCCTAGTGAGAGTTCTGAGATACCCTTCAACCTAAGCAAGCATGTAGGCTGCTATGGATGGACGAGAAGCTTAACTGAGGGTACTGAAGTCTAAATTAATTTCCTAGAAAGAGACTATAATTATTTACAAGTACATACATTTCTCAAAAAATAATTAAAAAACATGAAAAAATCATTAATTAAAAATATTCTAATTAATACAAAATGTTTACACCTAAATTACACCAAATATGTATGTGTTGGAATATGTATATGTGTGTGCATACATATATAGAGACGGACAGACAGAGACAGCAAATATAATCAGAGAAAGAGCTTTAAACAGGGGAAGTTCCCTAAGGACTATATATTTTACACACACACACACACACACACACCCCTACAAGATATTATTCTGAATGAAATCAGGAAATGTAACATAAACTACTGACCTATGTCTACCTCCTACAAATCACATCTGAGGGTGGGAGAGGTAAATCTAATCTGAAGGAAATACTTGTGATTTTCATTGTTGCTAATTACAAATGCCCAGAAGAGAAAATGACTCTTCAACCTTCTGGGAGGTTTTCTGTGAGCAGCAGTTTCCCAGTCTTTATTTTTTTAAAGAGAGTCATTTCATCTAGGAAAGATGCCGTCAAAAACGTAGATTCATCCAAATGTCTCAGAAGACCTGGAGTTAAACCTCAGCAAATGGCCCCGAACGTCTATTTGCTAACAGTCCTAGAGAAAACACCAGAAATAGCACTGTGAAGCCACAATTGCTAAATTGTGATAGTTAGGGCTAAATATAGAAGAACACAATTTCATTTTTGGGTATATGACATATTCAGCAGCATGAACGAACTCACGTCTTACCCAGTTGTCTACTTTTCTATTTATAAACATCCTTTTAAAAAACTGCTACCGTGCCATTTTTTTTTAAAAAGCTTATTGCCCTAGTTTCTTTGTAGCTAGATTATAAAAATCGCGTAATTAGCTCCCTCTTCCTCTGTCCTCTGCCAGCAAATTCTGTGGTTACATAATGCAACATTTCCAGGAACTATTAGGTGATCTGTTTTGCAGCGTCTGAAAAACCAATTACACAAAAGTGAGGGGAAAAGGGAGTTAACAATAAAATATTTCCGTTAATGGAAGGGAATAATTTAACCGGCACAATTCTTTCCAGATTTAAAAAATAACACCCCAGAGACACACGATAAGATTATGTAGCTTCCTTATAATCTTAAACTCAACATTCAACTAGAATGTGTATTTTTTTGTGGATCTTAAATTATTTAGTACTTAAGATAGAAAATAGATGTAATTTATAATCAAGTAATTCCCCGACGCTGCACCAAAATTACAAAATCATTACACACACACACACACACACACACACACACACACACCCCATTCTCATAATCCTTGCCAGTATTTCACAGTGGGCGGATTATGCAATGTATGAAAGAACAAATCTCACAAATCTTCCTTCGGGCTTTTAAAACATACTAACGATAAACAGCGTGGAAACTATAGGTAAGGACTAACCTCCGACACAGAAGCAATTGCTGAATAGGCATTTTTTGAATGCTGTCACCCCCCCCTTTTAAAACCTCATTTCTCAACTAAATTAAGTATTTTTAGTGTTACTCAACCCCTCACATCTTCTCCTTTTCCCCCACCCCCTAATCTCCCTCCATCCCTGGAGAAGAGGGAGTGGGGGCGTGAGTCAGAAAGCCCTTTGCTGCATGCTCGGAAATGGACTGACCTCAGAAGGGCTGCCTTAGTGCTTTTCTCTATCAAAACATCAATTTTCCTTAAATACCGTCATATTATGCAACTGCAGGGTAGAGAAAGGGAGCAAAGTCTACGTGCTGGGGAATGGGGGTTGCAATCAATATAGTCACCTTAAGGTGGAGATTCCGACATTGACATAACAGCAAAAGTTTGTATAATTAATAAATACACACGTCTAGAGATGTAATATAAACCCACTATTTTATACAGACACACTTCTGAATGTGACAGCAACTTTTCGAAATTACACATTAGTGGGTGGGGTAAGGTAAGGTAGTGAGTGGAAAGACAGAGGGAGATTTAGAGACACAAAGACAGAAAATGAAAACAAAGCCTAGAAATATTAGTACACAACATGTGTAATTACCTTTTTCATTTTCATCTTGGCCCGGAGAATGTTGTGGGAGGGGCAGAAAACGCAACAAAAACGAGAAGAGGTCTCCCCGGAAAGTCGCAAGTGAACCAGAGAACACAACACAACACCCGACTCTTAGCCTCAGCTCTAGATGAGGATAGAGGCTGGGCAGGGTTGAGTGAGGCTTGGGTACTGCTGTGTGTGCTGGAGTAGGGGGGATGGGGGGCTGAGGGGCAGCATCAAAGGATCTGAAGAGAAGTGGCTCGCTTGGGGCTTCGCTCCCACCTCCGGGGCAGGCCCGCACGCTGGTAGCGCGACACAGAGGAGACAGCCAGTTGCAGCACTTCCTGGGGTCGGAGAGAGGGGCGCAGGCGGGGGATGGGGGGGGTTGGGTGGCGGTAGAGGAGGAGTGATGGGAGGGGTCTACCAGCCTGCTACAGCGGGGAACCACCACCGCGCCGCCGCCGCTGCCGCCGCCGCCAGAGATCTGTGTTAGTAGGTCAACATCGTGCTCCTTGCAACGTACCCTTCTGCCAGCCTCGGTAGTGACTGGCGTCCACCGTGCCCCAATCACAGAGCCCAGAGCCAACCCCACCACCAATGGTTACTACTTGTCGGGGCGGAGGAATAGAGGTGGAGGCCTGGAACTTGAATTGCTTACGTCCCTCCCTCTTTTCTTCTTCCCTCCCTCTTTTCCAACGACACCACTACCAATGCTTTCCTTCCCTCCCTATCCCTATTACATCTACTCCTCCTTCTCTCTGCCTCCCTCAGCTCAACCATTTGTGGTACTATATGTGCTAAGTGTATTGCATAAGAGCAGAGGGGAGAGGAGAAAAGGAGGGAAGGAGGGGAGGAGGGAGGAGCACTGACATTTACGTGGAGGCCAGCGAGTTTGAGTTAAGGTGGACTCAACCTCTTAATTCTCCTTTTTCTTTTCTCACTTTCTCGTCTATTTCTTTTTTTTCCATTCTTCTGGTCTTGTTTTTTTTTTTTTTTTTTTTTAGACTGTGAAAGACAACCTAGCTACCTGTTGCAGGCGGATCCCCGGGGCCGGGTTGGAGAGGCAGCTTAGCTGAAATGTGGACAGTGATAGCTTTGAGCCTGGTGGGAGAGAAGAAAAATCTGAAGCCAAGCTACATGATTCACAGTTTACACTCACCCCCAGCTCCTGGGGAGCAGAAAGTGCTGTTGGTTAAATAAGCACATACTCAGCCCCCATGACCTCATAGATAAGAAATTGATAGGGGCGGGAAGCGTGGTGAGAGAGGAGGACATATTCGAAATAGGGGTGAATTGTCCTGTTGGTTTTCCAGAGGCCCAGCCAGCAATGAAACAGGGATGGGGAAAGCTGGAGTAGAGTGTGTTTCCTAAAGGAAGCTTTTCTGCAAAAGGTTGGAAAATAGGAATAGGGTGGGGGGGGCAGAAAAGTGATTCAAAGGCTTGATTCCGAATAAGGCTTTGTTATGTAGATCATTGATTAAAATAAACAAACAAAAAAAATCCTCTGAATCTATATTAAATAGACCCCTACTACTACAGATGAAAATAGAGAAGAATGTAAAAACACACCACTTCCCTCCAAAACTAAGGATACTAAAACTTAAAAGTGATTGTATAACAAAATTGAAAAACTAGTTTTGCTGATTTATATCTACCCAGCCACCACATATGGGCAATTCTCCACTGAATTATACATAATCTTTGGCTGGCATGAAAGTCTGCTGAAGCCATACGTGTTGATTCATTATTGGGTGTGTTCTCTGCTGTTATGCCAGTTGGCATTTTCTGCTGTGGGCTACAAAGCATATACTGTATTCTTGACGCTGCAGTTAATGTCTTCCTTTAATGATCTTCATAGATAAGGATGTTAAAGATTCTCCTTCTAACTTGATTTCTTCTTTCCTTCCCTTCACTCTGTAAGAACTGACATACAAGTGAAAGAATTATTTTAAGAGTTATTCACAAACTGTGTTAGAGGAATATTTATGTACTTGATTTTTTCAGGAAATGAAAACTACAGCAATTATGTAAACCAATGGAATCTGGCTTTCTTTAGACTTTTATATATTATATATATTTTGCTCATTATCCTGGTAGTCACTCATAGATCATAAAAAGTTTACTAGTAATAAATTAAAAGATTAAAATTTCTAATGTATGAAAGGATATAAAGCACTATTCCCCTCTACCTCCACAGCAAAGCCCATGCTAAGTTAGAAAAACATTCTCCAAAGGCAGTATGAGCTCTGATGAAAACTGACACCAAATCACCCTAAGCTTAGGCTTTTTATTCATCAGGCAAAAGGGAAATCAAACGGCCTCCACCTTCCAACCCTCTCAGAACACCAAACAAGCCTGTACAAAACTGGTGTCATTCCTACTATATCCCACCCCTTGGCAGCAAGATCCCTAAATTTTTCTATAGGATCTTCCATCACTAAAATAATCATGTCAGGTTCATAGCACAAATAGTAATACTTCCAATGCACTACAAACAACTATACAAAGTGGGAGCCATCAGCAAAATGCTTCCATCAGTCCTGACCTCAAAATGGAGAGCTTTTATAACTATATACTCATTCAAATCCCTGTATTTCTTCCAAGAGTAAGTATAAATAAAAATATTTTAGTTGCAACTAGACGAGACTAGAGGTTCAGCCTCTACCAGTATCATCATCTGTTCATGAAGGCAATAACATCTGAAGGAGCCAGATAAGCATGATATTGGATTACAATTTTCTTTAAAGAATGGAAGCTTCCTATGTCTGGCCCATTTTGTTACAAAAATCTTGAAACACATAACTCATAATGGGCATCTCACAATGAAGGGTCAACATAATATTATTTGTTCAGTAGTAAACAGGGCCCAACAGCAAGTAAACAAATTATTTAAGGGCAAATGGCTGTTTCTGGCACATTATTCCTCCAGACGCTTAACATTTGTTTACTGTCTGCTAAATGCTACATTCAGTTTTGTCCTTATGAACTGAAACATCAAAGAACATAGATTTCACAGGATCAAAATGAACCAGGGAGAGACTGCTGGACAGCACATTTTAGAGCTTCCAAAGCTATAGCCTATTTTTATCACCACTTTAAAGAAGTATACTTTGAAGTGACTCAGTAAATAGGGACCATAATAATACCAAAGGAGGGAATAAGAATATTTTAGAATGGTTAAGCATTTGGGCTTCACGTTTAGTCTACGTGGAAGCAAGTGTCAGTAGCTTATTATAAGCTCTATCTAGAATCACCAGATTTTTTCTCATTTTAAGTATTCCCCAAAATTTAAGTTAGGTGGGCTGGACCCTAAATTTTCTTAGGATTGATCTCCCATCCTTTGCCATCATCTATCTAATCTAGGGCTTCTGCCATCACAGCCTCAACAAGCCCAATCAACATATATAAGCAATACAGTAATGCTCTCTTACAAATCTCTGCTCTCCAAAGTATGGAAATATGAAGGAGAATTCAAGTAACCTTGAGAAATGATGGTGAAGATACCCTGAGTTCCTTGCCAGGTAAAAATAAACTACTAAATAGTCTCAGCCACAGAAAATGGAGAAAAAAAAAGGTTATGTTGATATCAATAATTCCATACTACTCAACCAGGCCCTAGGATGCTTGATCTGACATGGTCTGACACATTGACAAGGTCAGCAACAGCTGCAGCGATTGGCATAACAACTTCATTTAACTACAAATAATCTGCTATTTGCAAACAGGTACAAAGTGTTTTCTTCACTGGTCCCATTGGGTTATTTATTATAAGAAGAGTTTTTATGGTGATATAAGTACTCCAACTTCTTTCAACTTCATTAAGTAAGGACAGGGAATGGGTCTATAAATTTACTGGCATAGGCAATTTCCAAATGAGGAAACATCTCCATTACTAAGAAAGAAGTATATTTTGTCCCCTCCTCAACCCAATATTTTAAAATATTAACTACTCCGGATAGTTCAGGCAACAAGGGCTTCCATTTAGTCCTATCCAAAATAACCGGCATAAACATACCTATATTAATAATGACTCTGAAAAACTCATAATATGTGTACCTATAACTCATCTGAAACTCAAATAGGGAAAATCCATCTTCATGTAAGCTAGGGCATTCTTTACCTTGGTGGTCTTCCCACCAACTCTTTACCAGGGTTTAGTTAAGAACACTAGGTTTAGTGAGAATAGGTACTTGATATAAACAATTCCACTTGGGCATACGGCCTCTGGTCTCACGTAGTCCTACTGTTACAACAGTTAGAGTCTCAGGGGGAAGTTTAACATTCATTTTAAGGGAATTTATTCCAACAGTCCCTCAAATCTGAATACACAGATTTAAATGGCTCTGCACAACCATGTAGGATGTGGAAATGACTAGATGGTATGTAGCACCAATAATTTAGGACAGAGATATTCAGGGATTTTATAAATTTTACTACAGCAGAAGGGTCCTTGCAGAAGTTCCAGGATATCTTCATTGTCCCAGATTTTTTAAAATTGTGTTGTTTTCTTTTTTAACTTAAAAACCCTATAGGCTGACCATCAATTGTCTTCTTACCTACCTCATGTTTCAAAAGCCACACCCTATACTCCTGAGAGGAAGGATTATTATTACTCTCTGCACACTTAATATGGCAGAGAGCAAAGCATTGTGCCTCCTCCCATCATCCTCAGAATATCAATTTGAGTGTATAACTCTATTTATCCAAACAGTTTCAGAGGCTGACTAGTATTCCATTCAAATTTCACCAATTGATCTTCCCAGGACTATATGATAGTTTGGGTGGGGAAGGCACATATAGCTAAACCTTCACAATATTCATGTAGGACTCTATCTAAAAGACAAGCTATAGTTATACCCTAAGCAGATTGGTCATAAAGAGTGGGCAGTCATGGTGGGAGGCAATAATTCAAGTCCACTAAATATGTCTCTTATAAAAATTTCATCTCCTTTCTCACTATTCTTTTAAACAGGTAATCTAGTGTTAAGGAATTCATCCTTATGGGATTAAGAATACAGAACTATCCACCTAAAAATGGACAAAAGGCAGTCTCCATCTGGAGGATCTAATTGATTCAGCTGACTTTGCAAGATATCATCGGTAAGCTCTTCCAGATGATGGAATTCTGACAAATACTCTGAATTATCCCCTTTAGACCAGATCCTCATTAACCATGGTTCTAATGATTCATTGGCTTATTTAAATTTGTACTGCAATCCCCCAAGTTTTTTTGGTGGTGAAAACCCACCTACCCTCTGACACTCTCATACAGCAATATTTTAGAGGAAGTCATTCCCAAGAAAGTAGTATCCTAGAAGGGTAGTAATAGTATAAAAGTAATAAGATTCTTTTCTCATTCTCTTCTTAATTCTCTACAATCTGGCTTCAGATATCAGACTTCATCATTCAACTAAAATTCCTCTCCCCAAAGTCACTAATAATGTCGTAATTGCAAATCTCTACTTGATTTTTCTCAATCCTTGTCTTTCTTGACCTCTCTGCAGCTTTTGACATTATCAATAACTCTTTTCTTTGATCTTTCTTCTCCCTAGCTTTTCATAGCACTGCACTCTCCTGGTTCTCCTCCGCCATATATGACAACTATTTCTCAGTTTCTT